GCAATAAATACATAAACACTGTGTAACCCATTTGCATTTGACAAATTCACAGAAAACACTCCATTATCTATCCTATCTTGGTGAGCCCAAAGTCTTGTATCTAATTACCTTCATTCTAATTTGTATTATCAAATCAAAATTATCTTTTTATGTCTCTGAACCTTATATACTTTACATTTCTTTAATGAGCTTCTTTTCTGAGTCTGGTACACAAGGAAAACTGTAACTATACTATCTAGTTTTCAACTCCCTCAGAGACCCAAGAAGGAAATAATACAACTGTAAAAGCAGGAAGTGTGAGCAGAGAGAGACAAAAGTAGCTGGCTGCCTAGACAGTCATCTAAGGTTCCTCTGCAATGTTGGGGCATACATATTCTATCTATAGCCCTAGCATATCTGAAAGACTCTTCTATGAAGCACAATTTTTGAAGGACTGCCCCACCTTGTCTTAGCAAGGTTTGCAGTCACTTTCTTTTGTGTCCTACCTGTCCAATTTGGACAGCATACTGTCAGCAATTGGGGCAAGAGCACTTTCTTGCCCAGTGACTACTTTTGCCACAAAGAAAGTAAATTCCATGTGGAGTTTCTTCAATGCCCATCAACTTCTCTGACATAGATTAATGTTGCCAGGAGCATACATGTCTCATTCTCATAAAAAAACTATGTTATGAAAATATCTTAAATGCCATATTCTGTAGATCTCTGAAGTGCTTGAAGACAACCTGTCTTTCTAAAATATATCTCTGTTTGATCTTGTAAACATACTTAATATGACTACAAGTTCAATTATAATAGGTAACTAATTACTGACTTGTATATCCTTATCATCTTATGTAGTTTGTAGTAATAACTTTCAATGACTAGAAATTTGCATTACATTGTTAAATGGGCTGTATAGGTACAATGCCTTGAATAAGATTGCAAACTATGTACAGTATGTTTTAGCAAAATTAATCTCAAATTTGTGTCAATGTATAGAATCTGTGTACAATATACAAAACTTCAATACAATGTAAAATATTTAAACTAGTAGTTGTTTTTTAAGAGTAGATTCATAATACCTTTTTATCTTATCATATCTATACCTTTTAGAAGTATATTCAATAATCTAGATTTTTATCTTATATTGATATCCTCACTTTTTTCTTTTCTGAGTAGATTCAATAGTCTGCCCTTTTTTCTTAACATATCTATATCCACCCTTTTATTGACCATTACCAATAACAACTTGTAACAAATCATCCTAAACAATGACAAATACACCTAACCCATTAAATGACTAAAACCTACCCACCTCACCTCTTGGTAATGTGGGTGTCATGTTCTTAAATTTATTTCCTGCTATCTGGGGGTGATGGCATCTTTAGGGGGCCCTGAAAAGAAAAATATTTGTTGTCCTGGCTAGGGCAGTCTGTAAGGTTGGATCACTTCAGCTAGCTACCTCAAAATTGTGCTGAGCAGCATCTCTGAAGCTATATCATCTCATCTGGCCTCCTCGAAATTGTCATGAGTAGTTGGTGTTGTTCATCTTAATGGTGTTATCATAATCCTGGTGAAATTGTCATCTGTGAGTTCCCATCTTCTTTTTTTGTTTGTTGCTTTGTTTTGCTTTTTCAAGACAGGTTTTTTTGTGTTAAAAGTCCTGGCTACCCTGATACTCACTTTGTAAACCAGGCTGACCTCAATCTCATGATCCCTCTGCCTTTGCCTCCCAGGGGTGAGATTAAATGCATGCATGACCTCCGCCCACCTTGAAGATTTCAGAGATTGATTTACATCAGATTATTTCTTTTCTTGGTAATTTTTTCCAGGTAATTCTCTCTTCTTCTTTGGATGCTTACTTGTCCAAAGGTCTTTAAATTCTCCAAGGTATTTTCTTTTACTTTCCTGAAAAGGCAAAAGCAAAACCCTTCCCCAACCCTCGCTATGGAGAGGTTCCTAATCTAATCTTCATTAGTTTTGATTGTGGTTTCTCCTGAAATTTTTGCTTCAGCTTCTAAAGCCCCTCTATCGTCTAGAGCAGTATGGTGTTTTACAACAGGCATTGGGTTCTTTAATTACTCTGGGAATGAGTTTCCTCCATGGTGGTATGAAATGGTTAAACCAAATTTAACATGGGCGTCTTCAAGGGGCCCCTCAAGGCATTTTCCAAGGGCAAAGTATTGCCTTGGTAATCTCTTGTTGACCTACATTCCTTTGCCACACTTTCTGCATAATCCAGAAGGGAGAAGTGTTCTGTTTGGATTATGTTTACAAAAAGCATTGTTCCTAGAAATGCCCTGTTTATAATCCCTTTTAAAGTGACCTTGTTTACCACAATGAAAACATTTGACATTTCAATTAAATCACCTCTCTTATCCATTCATCATCATCATGGATATGAGCTTCAATATTAATTGTATCTAGGACCCAATCCTCCAAAGGTACTGACCTTGCCTTTAAAGGTCTAGTTATCCTTTTGCATCTGGCATTAGCATTTTCAAAAACCATTGTTTTGCTGGGTGGTAGTGGTACACGCCTTTAATTCCAGCACTCTGGAGGTGGAGGCAGGTGGATCTCTGTGAGTTCGAGACCAGCCTGGTCTACAAGAGCTAGTTCCAGGACAGCCTCCAAAGTCACAGAGAAACCCTGTCTCAAAAAACACAAAAGAAAACTATTGTTTTGATTATTATCTGTCTAGTTTCTGATTCTGACATCATTCTATTTACTGCTGATGACAATCTTTGTAAGAAATCTGTGAATGCTTCCCTTGGACGCTGTATAGCTTTTGTAAATGCAATTTTCTTTCCTACTTCTCCAATTATGTCCCAAGAATTCAAAGCTGTTGCAAGGCATAAACCCAAGAGGTGATCATTATATGGACATTGCCTTTCTAAAGTAGAGTAATCTCCCTCTCCAAGAATTTGATCTTAGGAGATATCCATACCTTTGGTTTTAGCCCATTGTTCAATATTCTTAGCCTCTTCTCTGAACCAGCTTTACTCAAGTCTATCAAGTCTATAGGGATAACTCTATTACAAACTGACCACATGTTTAACATCTGTTTCACAGATGGTAAATGCATGCCGGGTGAGAGTAATGTTTCCATGAATTTTCCTAAAGCTAACATTGTCACAGGTGTCCAATTACTCTTACAGAACTTCTACTACTTGGCACTTCCTGCAAAGTTACTAGATATATTAAAGTTGGTTTTCTTAAGATCTTAGACTGATCCTCTTTAACTTTATAATGCAAAGCTGAAATTGTTTTCCCATTAAATTCCTCAGTCTGGGTTTGTATATCTCTATGGTCTGCTTCAATAAGTTTTTCTGAAGCCTGCATCTTGGCACCCATATCAACCAACTTTTTAGAGATAAACCAACAATTATCATTTTGATAATTAACAGAATGTCAATCCCACTTAAGTGGATTATCAGTTTATTTAATTGTTCCATTTTTAAATCATGCATTGCATAATCAGAGACCTAACTCTTACCATTGTAATTGTTTCCCATTTTTAATGTGGAAAAAACTCCTTTTTGACTAATTACTTCCTTTAATAATTCCCAATAGACTTACCAAGTTTGTAGATAGTGTCAGTGAACTGTGAAGCATAGCTCATCTGATCCAAGAACTAGCTTGTGGCTGTGAGCTGAGAGTATCAGAGCCAGGAGAGGGGCTCTAGGAAAAGTTTGAAGGTCTCCCAAGTTTGGGTGGCAGCTGAAGACTGTTTAGAAAAGCTACGACCAAAATATCCTACAGTCTCTCAACGATTTGAGGAAAAAACAAAAGAAAACCTATCCATCTGGGCAGGGACTCCTATGGAAGCCCTGCATGTAGTTCTGGCCTGAGCCAGTGACCTCAAACCCACAGGCAAATTGCTTTTTCATGAATTTATACCTTAATGTTGGGCCCCAATATGTACCATGAAAAATAAAAACCCAGAGACATATATTGGGGTTCAAGCTTCAAGCTGAAAACCAGAAAAGCAAAGCAGCCAAGCCAGTAGACCTTACCTCTACCAAGCTAAAATGGTAATCCTATCTCCATGAATCTTCAGAGACAAAAGCTCTCAGTTCCTGTCTCCTCCTCCTTATATTCCTTTCTCTGCCAGCCATATCTTCCTTCCTCCACCTCCCTAGTGTTTGTGATTAAAGGCATGCGATCCTAAGTGCTGGATTCAAAGGTCTGAGCTGTGTTACTCTTCACTCTTGTGTAGGTCAGGGTGACCTTGAACGAAAAGAGATCCATCTGTCTGTCTTCTAAGTCCTGCGATTAAAGGTATATGCCCCTAGTGTCTGCCTAGCTAGTAAGGCTGCTGGAATTAAAGTGTGTATCGCCACTGCTGACTACTTCTATAGCTTGTGGTTGTCTTTGCTTTCTGAATTCTCAGGCAGGCTTTAATAAATCATAAATAACATGTTGCCACAAGAGGCAATCCAAACTGATCACCATCCAAGGGTAGACAGGGAGCCAGCAGTCAGCAGTCAACAGTTATACATGCCCTTGGCTGTTGCCTAATAATTGGAGCAGATGTTGAAAGTTTCTGATGAGACCCAGATCCCTTCACTCCCAATATTTCATAATTTAACAGAAGAGGTCATCATGTTTCCCCATAGACCACACTTAACTTATGTGTGAAGTTTGTTATCTGAGCTGTATTGATTCTTTTCCACAGACTGTCAACTTAATTCTGTGCTAACAACACATGCTGTGCTACTTAGCATATGGTGCCTCAGTCTTCTGCTGTCTCTGCTACCATGCTATCCACACTTAGCATGTTTGTGTTGGTTTATAGGTATGCTGTTGTCTTATGGGAAGTACATTAGATTATACAATAGTTGCTGCCTTCTAAGTAGAGGAGCCCACATATCAGATCATGACTACAAAACATGTATCAACTTCTCTTTAGGCTGGTATGAGAGAAGGTTGTGATTGATAGAGAAGTAGGTTGTTATACAGAGGGGTCAGCAAGATGTTGATCTTCGTGATTTTAATTTTTTTATTTCAGAATACAGGGTTGGAGGGCACATATGGAGGTACTGGAAAATGCATGGGATTGGGGTGCATGAAGTGAAATTCCCAAAGAATCAATTAAAAATGTTTAAAAAGAATATATCCCTGCAGGCATTATACACTGAAATTACACAGGTGTTTTGAATTATACCTTAGTGTAGTCTGTCAATCAAAACAGGTACGATGGTTTCACAGTGGTTTGTCCTGATTACTAATTACTATGTTGGTTCAAACACACAGGTCAGTTATAGACACTGCCCATTTCTTAAACAATGGACACCCAACTCCAGCTTCTACTGGATACTGGTTCACTAGTCAACCCTACTATGTCCCGTCACCTTGAGAAATGCCCTTTTGATGTCTTTATTCCGAAGACTATAGACCACGGGGTTGAGCAAGGCAGTAAAGGCATTGTAAAATAGTGAGATCTGCTTGTCTCTCTCAGGGGAGTAGCTGGAGTTGGGCCTCATGTAGATGTAAGTGGCTGGACCATAAAAGAATGTGACCACAGTCAGGTGGGAGGCACAGGTAGAAAAAGCCTTACAGCGGGCTTGGGTGGACTTGATCTTGAGAATTGCCTTGACAATATGAATGTAGGAGGCCACAATCAGACAAATGGGAGTAACAACCACAAAAACACTCATGACCAGGTCTACCATCTCAATGATGTGGGTATCCATGCAAGCCAGGCTACGCACTGAAGGTCCTTCACAAAAGTAGTGGTTAACCCTGTTAGGCCCACAATATGGCAGACTCATGGTAAAGAAAGTATGTAACAAAGAGAAAAAGAAACCACAGAACCAAGTCCCAGCTGCCAACATTATACATAATCCCCAGTTGAGGATGACAGTATAACGAAGTGGGTGGCAAATGGCCACATATCTGTCATAAGCCATGACAACAAAGAAGATACACTCAGTTATACCCAGGGCACCAAACACATACATCTGCAGCCAGCAGCCAGCAAAGGAGATAGTCTGGGATTTAGCAAGAAGATGCACCAACATCTGGGGCATGGTGGTGGTGACATAGCACATATCTAACAGGGAGAGGATGCAGAGGAAGAAGTACATGGGCGTGTGCAGCTGTGTGTCCATGCAGATCAGCATGATGATGAGCCCATTGCCCATGACTGAGCTCAGGTAGATGAGAAGGAACACAGTGAAGAGGATGCTGTTGGTTGTGGGGTCACTGGAGAAGCCAAGCAGGATAAACTCAGAAACCCAGCTTTGGTTCTTCCCTGGAGTCATCCACATGGTGCTGACTGTAAGAGAATCACATTCATCTATGTGTCACCTGTCACATGCCAGCTATAGAGGCAGAAAGGGGAGATACAGGCTGCTGAGATGGCTCAAAGTTAAGAGCACTGACTGCTGTTCCAGGGAACCACACAGCTCAGAGCTGTCTGTGACTCCAGTTCCTGGGGATCCAACTCCCTCTTCTCACCTCCCCAGGCCACAGACTCACATGATGCACAAGCATGCATGTAGGCAAACACCCATACTCAAAAAATAAAAGATAATACTTTTAAATAAAGCAGAAAGACTGGGTGTGGTTCTGAGCTCACTCAGTTTCTTTGCACTCTTCTCAAGTTGCCAAATCTTCCAAAGTCTCAGTCTCTTCATTTATCAAATGAAGCTGATGGCACTCATGTCTCGGGATTATGTTGAATATCTAAAGCATCTGACAGAACTCCTGGAAACACCATGTAACACATGACCTGACATATACAGACTCACACTCTCAGCCCAGGTCTGGGATGGCAGGGACAGGGGATTCCCCAGAATAATATGGCTAGCTACACTGCCTAAAATGATGAACACTGGATTCAACTGAGAAACACTGCCTCAATGAATTAGATGGAGAGAAACTGAGGAAGAATCCCATGTCAGTCTCTGACCAAACACACAAACACACACACACACACACACACACACACACACACACACACATACGGGTACCATAGACATGCAAAATAAAGGGCAAACAAGTAGATGAAGAAGACAAAACAGGCATCAGTCAGACACAGGTCTTTGCACATGAAGTCCTGTGAGTGATGACAGATGGTCATGTGTGCAGTTCACTGGGGACACTGTAGTCTTCTCAGGGGATGCTGATGGATCATGTGTATATGGGAGCAGGAAAGTTCTTTCTTCCTTTTTCACTCTTAGATCCAACTGCCCACACACAAAAAAAAATCAATTCCAGGAGTACTGGAGGTTTGAGTGGTAAATCAAAAGCAACCAATTTTTTTAGATATGAACATGATAAATACATCTGTAATTAAGCAAAGCTAAGATTTCTTTAAAAGAGCACTTTCTGTGGGAAGAAAAAAATAATGGTAATTTAGAATAAGAAAAAAAAGAAGTATTCAGAGTATTTATAAAAGAATTAGAAAAAATATATCATAACAACGGATGCTCCAATAGAATAATAGACAATATTTAAAGGACACTTCACAAGGCAGCTATCTAGTGAGCACTGAGGAGACTAAGGTTCTCAGCACCACTGCTCATCTGGAAATTACAGAAGAACAACGCAGTGCCAACGCCAACCCTCCTCTTCTCAATCCCACATCATCACATGCCTACCAGCATGGCTGCAACAACAGATATCTGGTGTTGACAAGTAACTGTATCCAATGGCAGAGTAAATTTAAATGATCCATTTAGAGTGTGCTTGGCTGTGTTCCCTAGAGTTGAACACATTCAATGCATTGCCCAGCAATACAAATATCAACTACATTTCTGAAACAATATAATCACAAAGGAACATACAAATGCATGCTCAATGAAACACATGTAAAAGACATGTCCAAACACTGTTGAAAATAGTGTGAACAGGGCACTACTCATATGCTAACCAACAAGACAATGGCTAAAGTAGGAATTGCTGTTGATGGGAGTAGAATATGAAAGAGATTTCTAGACATTCTCGGTCTTCACTTTCTCTGTCCCTATCCCTTCTCCTGACCAGTCTACTGCTCAGAACCCTCACAGCTGTCCTTCCTTTCAACCCAGGTCAGGAGCCCATCATCTTTTTTATTAATTTTATTTAAATTGAAAACAATCTTATTTTATATACCAATCACAGTTCCCTCTGCCTCCCATCCTCCCATTCCCCCCACTAACTCCCACACCACCCCCCATAGACTCCTCAGGGAGGGTAAGACCTCCTATGGGGTATCATCAAAGTCTGTCACATCATTTGGGGTAGGGCCTAGGTCCTCCCCCATGTGTCTAGGCTAAGAGAGCATCCCCATAAGGAATGGGCTCCCAAAGTCCATCCATGCACTAGGGATAAATACTGATTCCACTACGAGAGGACCCATAGTTTTCCTAAGCCTCCCAAATGAAACCCACATTCAGGAGCCTGGTTCAGTCTTATGATGGTGGCCCAGCTGTCAGTCTGGGGTCCATGAGCTCCCACTTGCTCAGGTCATCTGCTTCTGTGGGTTTCCCCAGCATGGCCTGGACCCCTTTGAGGAGCCCATTGTCTTTCCTGGTACTTCTGCATCAGCATCTCCATGGGCCACTTGCTTCTTAATTTTCCTCCTTCAACACAGTCTTTTATATTCTAATTTTTAAAAATACATTCAATCCTTTGTTGATTTCCCCATGGGAGGCCTCACCCTGTCTGAGGAGTGGTGGGGGAATGTGGGGGAGCAGAAGAAAGGATAGGAGGGGGAACTGGGATGGGTATGTAAAATAAAAAACATAAAGAAAACCTGAAAAAATTAAAAAATAAAAATTTTAAATGTTCAATGTACTTTGATCATATTCTTCCCCCTCTGAACTTATCCTAGATCCTCACCACCCAACTTCATGTCCTTTCTCCTCCTACTCTCTCTTTCAAAACAAAACAATGAAAATCTTTTAAAAATTAAAGAAAGAAAATCAAAACAAAACAGAACAAAATGAAAAACAAACCATGTAGTCACTTTTCTATTGGCCAACTAATCTTCGACATGAGGCGTGCCCTGGAGTATAATAGACACACGCAGTGACACTTTAACAGATAAAAACAGATTGTACCTTCTATAGCAGGTATCAACTTCAAATAGCTCCTTGTTTAGGGGCAGGACTTTAAGTCCACTTTGTATTCTCACTGTTGACAATTTGTCTGATCAAAAGTTCTGCATGTGGTTGCTACAGAGGTTTTTACAGGAAATTACTCTGCTCTTATCTTGCCCCTGTTGAAATCCTTTTAAGAGCTCCCAAGCCTGGTCATTTGAGACAGATGCACAGGTCATTCCTACCCTGCCTGCCTGTGAAGACCCAGACTCACTGCACACCTGTCTCCTCTGTCTGCAATCTCTTCATGCACAAATATCCCCATGCACAAATCTCCATGCAAGCACTACCTGTCTCCTGCATGCCTCTGCCCCTCTCACACCTTAAGGCATGAGTTCTCATCATGGAGGGGGGACCACCTCCTGCACCATGTTGCCCACACCATAGCCACAGCAGTACTCAGCTTGGCTGGAAGCCTTCCCTGCTGTGCTACCACCCATTACCCAGTTGATGACATCCTGCATTTCTTGCCCATTGGCCCCTTACAATCTGGAGAATTCTAGAGGTGTCTGATATCAATTTTGACACTAAGAAACTTGAACAAACCTATTGTTACTCTCTTGTTAACTGAAACCCCACACAGCTAAGAAAGAATTGTCTCTGATAGAGTTTGTCTATATGGGTGATTCCCTAACCTTTACAATGAAAAAAAAAAGACCTAACATTTGTTGAGTATATTGTACATTCCAGCTACTGTTGCACTAGCTATACCTTAAAATGACAACAGTTCACTGAAGGAAGTAATCTTACCTGTGTGTTATAGGTGAAAACCTAAGGCCTGGAGCAGATGGTTTGTTCCAGATTACAAGGACACGTGACAAGAGAAGATTTAGGTGGTGGCTTCAGAGCCTGGCTCTCAGCCACCTTCCCTGCTTCTGGCACACAGGCTCTGAAATGGGGACATGAGGAAGACAAGGTCTTCACATTGTCCATCTAGTTGAGTTTATGGAGACTCAGCACATCCAGAGTCCTCCTAGGACAGAGCTAGATGGCTCTCCTGATGAGATTCCCCTCCTGTCTGAATATGGGAGATCCTTGAATGTATTCAGAGTAAAAGGATCCAAGGAAAGAGGATTTGAGGCTTTATTTCTATCACATGGCGACACCATTTAGTGAACCATGGCCTTTTGTGGTTTCCTAGCCCAGTGGCCTCTGACTTGGCATACAGTATCCCAATAGGACTGCTGGCCCAAATCTGTGAGCCCAGCACTCACAGCTGAAATCATGGCTGATTTTCAGGCAGGAAAGGCTACACATGGTAGCTCCAATCTACAAATCCAGCATCTGTAAGGCTTAGGATAAGGAGTCCAAGGACATACTCAAATATATAAAAAGTTTAGTACTAAGCTAAGCTACAGCAAACTCACAAACCCCATGCCCCCCAAAAACAATGATGATTGTTCTGCCCACAAGTAGCAGGCTGTGTCTCTGTGTGGGGAGACTCCTTCAAAGACACTGACCACCACTGCTCTTTCATGAATATGGCTTTCTGTTTCATTTGAGATCTTTGAGCTCAGGACTCCATATCCTTTGTTTCTCAAAATGATTTGAAATGGACAAACACTCTATAAAAATGTATTGAATTAAATACAGAAGGAAGGAAGAAGGAATTAAGGACACAGGTTGAGAAAGAGATGAAAGCAGAGCAGGCAATGAGGAAAGAGGGCTGGGGAGTTCGAGATGTTTTCACAGAGGACCTGGAGATGGATGGCTTGACTAATTATCTCTAGACTCACTTGTCTGAACACCACCCACAAGCCAAGCACCAGTGACCATCTTACCCCTTTGCAAATCCAAGGACTGTGTCACCGCTGTCTAGGTGTTTCTTTCTCTAATGGGATAAAGACTAAAGGGAAAACCCCCATAGCAACTTAGTCCAAGGTGATGGGATTTTAGGTAGCTCAATCTCCAGAAAAATTCCAAGGTGATGTAGATTTAAATCTCCCACTTCCCCTGCAGGTGGACCAGCCCCAGTTCCTGAAGATGGTCCCTACACAATCCTGCTTAACAAAGGTAAGCTCACACATCTTCACCTCTTCCCAGTGGGGCCAGATACTGAGGTTTTATGACCCTGCCTCCTCTCTGAGCCTCTCAGGAGATCCGGGAAAGGGCCATTTCTGTTCCCAGTAGGGATGCTGAGATGATCCCTGGATGCTGTCAACAAGAGCACTAAAGTGAGACCCTTAGGGGAAGAGCAGGAGGAAAACCCCACAGGAGGAGGAGTGGTGACCTGTTTCCTTTTCT